CAAAAGCAACTGATGGTGTCGAAGAAGAAGAATATAATCCATTATCATTCTGGGGAAAAATGCATTCTACTTATCCAGTTTTGTCAAAGGTAGCTACTCGTGTGCGTGCTGTGCCAGCTGCAAGTGCGGCCGTGGAAAGAGAGTTCAGTCTTGCTGGTAATATCATCGCAAAAAAACGGTCCAAACTATCTCCTGATGCTGTCAATGACATAGTTTTCAATAATTCTTATAAGAAATATCATGGGAAACGTGATCATACAGAGGAAGGTAAAACACGCTAGTCTAGCATTGTTTTTATTTGTTTTTTTATAACCATTGTAAAAATATTTTCTTCATTTAATATAAATATGTAATAGAGATTTATATGTATATATATATATATATAATCGCTCGTTATATGGCGCAAATGCTATGATTTACTTGCCAGAAGCTTTGCTCCGTATAAACTCGATTCGGTTCGGTTCGAAGTTCTCGAGAAACTGGTTCGGTTCGGTTCGAACATATCTCAACACGATTCGATTCTGTTTGAAATGTTTAAAAAACTGGATCGGTTCTGTTCGGTTCGGTTTGGGAAGTGTTTCGGTTTATTTCGCTTCGGTTATAAAAATATACGAACCGATCCCACCTCTGAAAGATAACCCATTTTTTGTCGTGCAGTGCAAAAATAAAATAGAGAATTATTTTAGCAGTTTCCCCATATTGATGAATGCAAATGCAATAGCACTTAGTAAGTTGTTCATAACTTTTTTTCCTTTTGCTCCCAAGGATTAACCTTTTTTGCAAAACATCCGTCTAGACCTTCCTAAGTTCAAGTTTCGTTCAGAACTGATGAACTGTTCAAAACGCTATATTCAGCGAACTATTCGTTTTGAACGAGCTGAACTGATCGAACAGTTCTTTAGAGCGAGCTGAACTTTATCATTTGAATATATTCCCTCGGAAGATTTGTTGTTTTTAAAAAGAACTCTTAATCTTGTTTTCGATAAGTCATCATACTTTATGTTATTGCATTATTATTTGTACTTACAGATTTTTTGTTTTTATCTTTTGTCGATTTTTTTATTGCTTACAAACTATAGTTTTAACAATCAAATATCGTACTAATGCAAATATTTTTCAAAGAAACTTCTTAGTTGCTTTTAAAAAAATCACTAAAAATAATGTCGTTTTGGATAGAAAGAAAAGCTCTTATTTGATGACATTGTGATTTGGCTTAAGAGTTTTGCAATAACACCAACAAACATTTCATATATTCACAATAACTTTCATAATATTAAATTTCATTTATTTGTGAATTCAAATAAATAAGAGACTTAAATAGGTTAGATAATGTTTTCGGCATCTTCATAGTTCTGTGATCATCCTCAAAAAGTCCTTTAACCTTATCCAGTGGATAAGATTAAAGGACTCCTAGATATACTGAATGACATTGACAGGTGCTGCTTGTCCCTATGAATAGACCTTGAGAAGTTTTAACTACGTCCTATGGATAGATCTTGGTATATTAGGCCAAATTACAGATCTTCTAAAGTTGACGTTCAGTTCGCTCAAAAGAATTGTTCGACCAGTTCAGCTCGTTCAAAACGAACTGTTCGAAAAGTTCAGTTCGCTCGAAAAGAACTTTTGAACAGTTCTTTCGCTCATTTGAACGGAGTTCGTGAACGTGAGCTGGTGAACCCCTACATGCGTCTACAAAAGACATATTGAGTGTTTCACTAAACGTCCCACTCTCACAGAATTTATCGCACAAAATTCAGTCAAGAGCATCCCAGATTTTCTACAAAACGAAACTGTTCTTGAGATCTTGGAATTTCTAAATAAAACTCCGGAAGTCGATTCAACGTAAAACTTTTAAAAAGCTATCACCGTATGTTTCGACAATCTTCTAAAAACAGACCTTTGCAAGATTTCGAGTTCCGCCAAACTTTTACGTTTATTCCATTTTTCGAATAAACAATCGAATACTTTTTTCAAAAGAATTTTATCTCCCCAGTCAGACCAGCTATTTTATGGTGACTCTCATCCTCACCGAACAGCACTGAATCTTTTTAAAGTTGAAATTTTAAATTGTATTGTTTTTAAAGTTTCGAGTTTCAAATTGATTGCGTAGGTGTTCTGAATACGTGATTACGCTATTGGATAATCGCTTTTAATCGGAAATTCTATGGGGTCTAGTTTTGGCATATTATTCAGAACTATTCTGCATGTTAGTGTCTGAAATAGTGGATCAAATTATCCTTAGAGAAGCTGAATTTTGTACTTAAGGTGGAGTTTGATGGAATAAAATGTATATATTATTTATTTACGAAAACCTACAAGAGTTATATGAGATAAGCAGCACCATATACAGCGTCTTTTATGTTTGGTTTGAGAGCAAAAGGAAAGGTTTCTTTCCAAGTTAGTACAAATAGAAGAGCGTAGTGTTCTGCACGGAGTTACGGTGTTCCTAGTAGAAAAACTTCACCATATTGAACGGAATTCGCTATTGAACGTTGTGATGTTATTAATAGACGATAACTCGTATAACGCACGTTTGATGATACGATTTGTATCGGGCCGAATGCTATGCGTCCAGGATCTGTCGAAAGACCACTAGGTCCGGAATAAATTAGTGTCCAACTTGAACCCAACGGTAACGATGAACTGAGGGAATTGCTTCCTTCGATCGTGATTGTTAAAGGGTCTCTTGCAGGTATATCAACACCCGTCAAAAATTGTACTCCGGTTAAAAGAGTTGCTCCAATCGATGGCGTCACATAGAAACCAGTGCCAACACCTTGTGTTGCACTTGTTGTACTAGAGATTCCTTGGCCAAAATTTAAATAAGTTGGTGAAAGAGCTCGATCTATTACATTTCCAGGACCTTGAGCTGTCGGATATTGACACTGACCATTGCCCTGTGATACTGATTGACTATTACTGCCAGCCAATGTGTTACAAACAGCGACGATCGAATCCCCTGGTATTGTTATTACATTAGCACTTGCTAAACATCAAATAAATTCAAATTCAACAATTCCTATCAGTAACATTCATTTGCAGATCGTATAGTTACAATAGGTCCGAACCTAATTTCACTTACGAGAGAAGGTCTGAGGGGCTTTTTGCTCATGACGCTAGGTCGCAGAGGAAACGGACTTCTTGATTATTTTTAGAGTGATTACAATGTAGATTGTTCTATCCATAAGTCAAGATCAAAAAGAACTACAGAGCCGAAAATGTTCTTCAAGGTAACTCTATTTAACGCCTGACTATTCCAGAAGTTTAACTTCACCGGTGACTAAGTTATATGATTTATTATTTTGTTTCTTTTTTCTAACATTACAAGCATGGTATAAAGGAGCTCTGTTTCTTCAATTTCTTCTCAAAATGTGTTGTACTGAATGAAGCGCTGTATGCAACACATTTTGATTTGTCTAAACATTTTCTTGAATACTACGTGACATACTTGTGAAGCATATGATCCCGATCAAATCGATCTCTTAGTATTCTCTCGATATCTCAGTTAGTATTCATCACACAGACCTAATCTTTTTTAAAACATTCGCCATTTCATCGTCTATAAAAAAACATATTGAACATGTTTCTATATACTGTAAAAATAAAAATATAGCGAACATACTGAGAAGCTTCGCTCTCGACAATTTACGTGGTCCATAAAATTCATTATCCATCAAGACTTTATTAGCAAGATATTCAACTCAGGAGTTGAAATAAACGAAACATTCAAACTACTTACTGATCTTCGTAGAATTCCCAGCATTAGCCAGAATCGCGACATCACTTAGTGTTAATTCTCTAGAATACACGTAAAACTCATCGAATGCTCCATAAACTTGTTTCTCTAGTATTGCTCCTGTAACACAACCCGTAACACTTGGATTCCCTAAATATATGGTCATGGGCACAGCCGCACCCTGAAACTGGTCAAGTGGACCGGTTGAATTAAACAAAATACCATTTATATACATTCGCATCCCATTTCCAGGACTGTAAGTTTGAACAATGTGGGTCCACTTGTTAATCGAAATCACTGGACCAACAATCTGAACAATGTAGGATATAATATAAAGCTGTGTTACGATCTGGCCGCCAGACTGAAACCCGATAAAGGGCATACACCATCCTCCTCCGTTAGCGTATGAACCAACATGAATAATCGTGCCTCCATCAGTTACCGTAACCGGGTTAATCCATAATGCAATTGAAAACGCTCGGTTAGATGCGCCCAACCACGTGAAACCGGTTGCCGTGAAATACGCGGGGTTAACCACAAGATTGAGAGCTTGTCCCAGACGTCCATCAATAGACCAAGCATTAGAGCCAGTACCATTAATATGACGCGAACCGGAATCGTAAAATGAACCATTGTCGAATGAATAATATGCCATCGAGGCATCAGCAGTACCTTTAAAATACTAAGCTATTAGTGTATTCTTAAAGGAAGCATGGTGAAAATTTCTTAGTGCAAATGGTCGCATTAACCAGAAAAGTGAATCATCAACATTCTTGCACCTACTTCTGATGTGTTCTCTATCGTCTGTATCCTCTGTATCTTTTCATTTGGCTGAAAGCTTATTTACATAGACTAGATTTACTATTATTATGATCGAAATTGATGGAAAGGAAAAGACAATCTTTAGATAAACTAATGCAAATGGCCAAAGTTTGTTTGATTAGCTTAAACGGCTTTAGAGATAAAGCATTTCAATGCCATAAATTCTCTGAGCGAAAATGCATTTTCTTGCGATTCAGTCATTATAACGATCAACCTTCATGTTCTCTGCTCTTATTACCTGTAATTGAGCAACTAATAAGATGGGCTTCAGAATATTGTACAGAGTCCTCTGTTCCACGTTGTGATGTAATTAGCACACGATAACTCGTGTAACTGATGGTCGCTGATATTGCTTGAAAGATACCATATGTATTTCGACCTGGATCTGTATCGAGACCTGTTGAACCATTGTACATCAGAGTCCAACTCGAACCTAGCGTTAATGATGATGATAGATTGTTACTACCTTCAACGGTAATGGTTAGCGGATCACGTGCAGGATAATCGTCAGCTGTCACAAAGACGATGCCTGATAATAGCGTGGCTCCATTTACTGGAGTTACATAAAAGCCCGTGCCAACGCCTGCTACCGGGCTAGTTGTAGAAGATGTCGCACTACCAAAATTCAAGTATTTCGTTGATAAAATATCGTCGATAGCAGCCATTGGAGATTGATTCGCGTTATAATATTGGCAATTGCCACCACCTTGAGTAACAGGTGAACTGTTACCACCGGCCTGTGTATTACACACACCAACGATGGCATCGGCATAATTCGTAATTTCTACACTACAAGGCTGTGCTGGAACACGAATAAATACAGAGTCACATTAAACTACACGATTGACTTGGAGTATGAACATATTTTTAGTATGTATGATACATCCAATAGAAAATTCGATTCACTTTTACACATAGAAATGACACCCATGCAGTTCCAAAGTGGACAGTGGGTTTTTGATGGTTGAGCTGTTCTTTTTACCTGATTTCAGTTTTGGATAATAGCAAACTTAGTTTTTATACTCAGTTTTGGATGGACACTGAGCAAAATAGCTCTGGAATATTACACAAAGAATAAATATGAAAATTTTGCTTTTGTTTTGAAAAGTTTACTGAAACTAATCTATTCTCAACAAAGAATAGGTTTTTCCTTCTCTCTCCACTCTATATCCACATACCTCACCTTCTGTCACCAATTTTCTCGCCGATTTCGAATCTTAAACTGTAACATCCAGAGTCGCACATTACCTCTTGATATGGTCAAACTGTATACCTCTGAACACAGTGGCGGATCCAGAATTATTCTCTGGTACGTACGGTATACGATAAAAGAGCGAGATACGTGCAGTCGTTATAGAAACAAATTATTCTAAGAAAGTTCTGACGAGAAAAAACAGTTTTTTGGTTAAAAGGTACGCGTGGCCGCTTCTACCGTTCGTGGACTGGATCCGCAAATCCTGAAAATCAGATAGATGAAAAGATAGCCCGTGCAAAACTCTATCGACTTTTCTACGTTAAGACGTTTCTCAGTAATTGTTTAACGGTAAATAAAGCGCATCATCAGTCTTAGTTTTGATAGAAAGCACTACTTTGCATGAGAAGGATGGAACATGAAGAAAAATTCGCTATTCGGGGCTCTAAACATGTTAGTAAAGGTTAAAACTAATGTAAAGGAGGGAAGCTTTCGAACCGCCGTATTTTCACCAAAATTACATAAACATGTTCCATTTTTGACGCTCTTTCCAGTGGTGTTAAATTCAGACTCAAAAAGGTTGAACTTTCTTTGGAAAACCTCTCTTTTTCTAACGCAATAGAAGGAAAAGCTATAAATAGCTATTTTCGGCCTACTCGAGGCTTTTGTGGCTTTGTTTATGAGCAGATTGACTTTTTCTCTAACTTCTTCACGCAGCTAGTACTGGGTAGGTTCATTAATCGCAAGTTCAGGTTCCTGCGTTTATCCTTTTCACCGCGCAGAGCTCACCCTAACAGAGAGTTCTTTTTGTTCTTTTGCATTAGGAAGTGCAATTAGCCCCAAAGTTGTTGCCGTAGCTAGTTGTGGGCTAATTAGAGCTAATGGTTTAATATTAAAGTTTTTCAAAAAAAGTACTTTTTTTTCGACTCTTAAACTATGCTCATTCGATTCCTCGTCAAAAACTGAATACGTCCATGTAGGTTTGGTCGTGTCACACGCAATCTTCAGAAGACAGGGAGAAAACAATTTTTGAGAAACGCCGTTTTTGGACTATAATAGCTATTTATAGCTTTTCCTTCTATTACGTTAGAAAAAGAGAGATTTGCCAAAGAAAGTTCAACCTTTCTGAGTCTGAGTTTAACACCACTGGAAAGAGCGTCAAAAATGGAACATGTTTATGTAATTTTGGTGAAAGTACGGCGGTTCGAAAGCCTTTAATAGATCGAAAAAGCCATTTTTAACGCCTTTTCTACAATTGTTTAGAAAAAAATAAAATTTTCGATGTTCCAAAGAGAACCTCAGCCTAAAAATTTTTGAAAAAAATGAAAGTGAGTTTCTTGAAAATCTGAAGCGACAGTTTTGTTTGAAATTTGATGCTGATTTCAACCATGTAATTTTTATTCGAAACAAATTGAGGCTACAAAACTGCCTTATCCGCTTCCCTCTTTTGTTGGGAATTACATACTGTTCCAGAAAATGTGTTTTAGAAAAGGAGAAAAACTCGTCCAATATCTGAAAACTATTAATTAAGTCTAATTGCCTTATTTTTTAATGCCTCTATGTGCCTAATTGCCTCTATTTAATGCCTGTCTATTCCAGAAGTTTAACTTCACCGGTGACTAAGTTATATGATTTATTATTTTGTTTCTTTTTTCTGACATTACAAGCATGGTATAAAGGAGCTCTGTTTCTTCAATTTCTTCTCAAAATGTGTTGTACTGAATGAAGCGCTGTATGCAACACATTTTGATTTGTCTAAACATTTTCTTGAATACTACGTGACATACTTGTGAAGCATATGATCCCGATCAAATCGATCTCTTAGTATTCTCTCGATATCTCAGTTAGTATTCATCACACAGACCTAATCTTTTTTAAAACATTCGCCATTTCATCGTCTATAAAAAAACATATTGAACATGTTTCTATATACTGTAAAAATAAAAATATAGCGAACATACTGAGAAGCTTCGCTCTCGACAATTTACGTGGTCCATAAAATTCATTATCCATCAAGACTTTATTAGCAAGATATTCAACTCAGGAGTTGAAATAAACGAAACATTCAAACTACTTACTGATCTTCGTAGAATTCCCAGCATTAGCCAGAATCGCGACATCACTTAGTGTTAATTCTCTAGAATACACGTAAAACTCATCGAATGCTCCATAAACTTGTTTCTCTAGTATTGCTCCTGTAACACAACCCGTAACACTTGGATTCCCTAAATATATGGTCATGGGCACAGCCGCACCCTGAAACTGGTCAAGTGGACCGGTTGAATTAAACAAAATACCATTTATATACATTCGCATCCCATTTCCAGGACTGTAAGTTTGAACAATGTGGGTCCACTTGTTAATCGAAATCACTGGACCAACAATCTGAACAATGTAGGATATAATATAAAGCTGTGTTACGATCTGGCCGCCAGACTGAAACCCGATAAAGGGCATACACCATCCTCCTCCGTTAGCGTATGAACCAACATGAATAATCGTGCCTCCATCAGTTACCGTAACCGGGTTAATCCATAATGCAATTGAAAACGCTCGGTTAGATGCGCCCAACCACGTGAAACCGGTTGCCGTGAAATACGCGGGGTTAACCACAAGATTGAGAGCTTGTCCCAGACGTCCATCAATAGACCAAGCATTAGAGCCAGTACCATTAATATGACGCGAACCGGAATCGTAAAATGAACCATTGTCGAATGAATAATATGCCATCGAGGCATCAGCAGTACCTTTAAAATACTAAGCTATTAGTGTATTCTTAAAGGAAGCATGGTGAAAATTTCTTAGTGCAAATGGTCGCATTAACCAGAAAAGTGAATCATCAACATTCTTGCACCTACTTCTGATGTGTTCTCTATCGTCTGTATCCTCTGTATCTTTTCATTTGGCTGAAAGCTTATTTACATAGACTAGATTTACTATTATTATGATCGAAATTGATGGAAAGGAAAAGACAATCTTTAGATAAACTAATGCAAATGGCCAAAGTTTGTTTGATTAGCTTAAACGGCTTTAGAGATAAAGCATTTCAATGCCATAAATTCTCTGAGCGAAAATGCATTTTCTTGCGATTCAGTCATTATAACGATCAACCTTCATGTTCTCTGCTCTTATTACCTGTAATTGAGCAACTAATAAGATGGGCTTCAGAATATTGTACAGAGTCCTCTGTTCCACGTTGTGATGTAATTAGCACACGATAACTCGTGTAACTGATGGTCGCTGATATTGCTTGAAAGATACCATATGTATTTCGACCTGGATCTGTATCGAGACCTGTTGAACCATTGTACATCAGAGTCCAACTCGAACCTAGCGTTAATGATGATGATAGATTGTTACTACCTTCAACGGTAATGGTTAGCGGATCACGTGCAGGATAATCGTCAGCTGTCACAAAGACGATGCCTGATAATAGCGTGGCTCCATTTACTGGAGTTACATAAAAGCCCGTGCCAACGCCTGCTACCGGGCTAGTTGTAGAAGATGTCGCACTACCAAAATTCAAGTATTTCGTTGATAAAATATCGTCGATAGCAGCCATTGGAGATTGATTCGCGTTATAATATTGGCAATTGCCACCACCTTGAGTAACAGGTGAACTGTTACCACCGGCCTGTGTATTACACACACCAACGATGGCATCGGCATAATTCGTAATTTCTACACTACAAGGCTGTGCTGGAACACGAATAAATACAGAGTCACATTAAACTACACGATTGACTTGGAGTATGAACATATTTTTAGTATGTATGATACATCCAATAGAAAATTCGATTCACTTTTACACATAGAAATGACACCCATGCAGTTCCAAAGTGGACAGTGGGTTTTTGATGGTTGAGCTGTTCTTTTTACCTGATTTCAGTTTTGGATAATAGCAAACTTAGTTTTTATACTCAGTTTTGGATGGACACTGAGCAAAATAGCTCTGGAATATTACACAAAGAATAAATATGAAAATTTTGCTTTTGTTTTGAAAAGTTTACTGAAACTAATCTATTCTCAACAAAGAATAGGTTTTTCCTTCTCTCTCCACTCTATATCCACATACCTCACCTTCTGTCACCAATTTTCTCGCCGATTTCGAATCTTAAACTGTAACATCCAGAGTCGCACATTACCTCTTGATATGGTCAAACTGTATACCTCTGAACACAGTGGCGGATCCAGAATTATTCTCTGGTACGTACGGTATACGATAAAAGAGCGAGATACGTGCAGTCGTTATAGAAACAAATTATTCTAAGAAAGTTCTGACGAGAAAAAACAGTTTTTTGGTTAAAAGGTACGCGTGGCCGCTTCTACCGTTCGTGGACTGGATCCGCAAATCCTGAAAATCAGATAGATGAAAAGATAGCCCGTGCAAAACTCTATCGACTTTTCTACGTTAAGACGTTTCTCAGTAATTGTTTAACGGTAAATAAAGCGCATCATCAGTCTTAGTTTTGATAGAAAGCACTACTTTGCATGAGAAGGATGGAACATGAAGAAAAATTCGCTATTCGGGGCTCTAAACATGTTAGTAAAGGTTAAAACTAATGTAAAGGAGGGAAGCTTTCGAACCGCCGTATTTTCACCAAAATTACATAAACATGTTCCATTTTTGACGCTCTTTCCAGTGGTGTTAAATTCAGACTCAAAAAGGTTGAACTTTCTTTGGAAAACCTCTCTTTTTCTAACGCAATAGAAGGAAAAGCTATAAATAGCTATTTTCGGCCTACTCGAGGCTTTTGTGGCTTTGTTTATGAGCAGATTGACTTTTTCTCTAACTTCTTCACGCAGCTAGTACTGGGTAGGTTCATTAATCGCAAGTTCAGGTTCCTGCGTTTATCCTTTTCACCGCGCAGAGCTCACCCTAACAGAGAGTTCTTTTTGTTCTTTTGCATTAGGAAGTGCAATTAGCCCCAAAGTTGTTGCCGTAGCTAGTTGTGGGCTAATTAGAGCTAATGGTTTAATATTAAAGTTTTTCAAAAAAAGTACTTTTTTTTCGACTCTTAAACTATGCTCATTCGATTCCTCGTCAAAAACTGAATACGTCCATGTAGGTTTGGTCGTGTCACACGCAATCTTCAGAAGACAGGGAGAAAACAATTTTTGAGAAACGCCGTTTTTGGACTATAATAGCTATTTATAGCTTTTCCTTCTATTACGTTAGAAAAAGAGAGATTTGCCAAAGAAAGTTCAACCTTTCTGAGTCTGAGTTTAACACCACTGGAAAGAGCGTCAAAAATGGAACATGTTTATGTAATTTTGGTGAAAGTACGGCGGTTCGAAAGCCTTTAATAGATCGAAAAAGCCATTTTTAACGCCTTTTCTACAATTGTTTAGAAAAAAATAAAATTTTCGATGTTCCAAAGAGAACCTCAGCCTAAAAATTTTTGAAAAAAATGAAAGTGAGTTTCTTGAAAATCTGAAGCGACAGTTTTGTTTGAAATTTGATGCTGATTTCAACCATGTAATTTTTATTCGAAACAAATTGAGGCTACAAAACTGCCTTATCCGCTTCCCTCTTTTGTTGGGAATTACATACTGTTCCAGAAAATGTGTTTTAGAAAAGGAGAAAAACTCGTCCAATATCTGAAAACTATTAATTAAGTCTAATTGCCGGTTTTTTCGAACTAATGAAAAACTTGCAAAATTCCGGTCCAAAAGTGGATCGAAGCATAGTCTATCATACTTCATTCGAAAGAGTGATTAATACACTGGAAAAAAAGTGGAAAGTTCCAAGAGCTTTTTTAGCCACGGTTGATATCGTAGTTTTTGTTTCTCAAAGCCAATTCCAAAAATGTTGTTCTGTATGTATTTTGAAGTTGAGGCTTTGCTCTTTCAATCAGAAAAAGAATGAACTTTCTGCAGTATTCCTAAGTGGAAAACTATGGCTGAAGATTTCGGTAGTTACTTTCGCATCAGGGATTACAAACGATTTGTCAAAGTCTGAGCTTTTGTCAGAACATTTCGGTAGTTGTTACCCCACGGCACAAGGATCTATGCCTGATCTGCACATTATCGTTTCTTTTAGTTTTGTTTCCACAATAAATTTCGATGTGGCAAGGGTGTTCAAACACGTTAAATCATTAGAGAATAAAAATAGTGTTGGTATTGCTGATATTCCAGTTAAATGCTTGAAATTAAGTGCAGATATTATATCGTCACAGTTATATAAGATCTTTAGCATGCTGATTGACAGAGGAGTTTTCCCTGATATATGGAAACTTTCAATAATACAAGCTATTCATAAAAAAGGTGATAAAAATAACACCAGAAACTATCATCCAATCTCTTTAATGTGGGACTTAAGTAAGATGTTTGAAAAGTTAATTCATAAGCACTTGGTGCAGTTTCTAACAAAAATAATTTCTTTGTGCCCAACAATTTGGTTTTCCTCCTTGGACATTTGCTCTAGATGCTCTAATTCATTTAACTAAATTTATCAGTAATTATCTTACCGGTGAAAATAAATTAATAGGTGCGTTATTTGATTTTGAAAAGGCATTTTATACAGTTCTCCATCAAATTCCTTTAGGAACACGATCACATGCTGGAATTCATGTAGATGTGTACAGTTGGTTTGCATCTTATTTTTCCAATCTATCACAAGTAGTTTCCATAGAATCGGCTCTCACCAAAAGAGTAACCGCACCGATGTGCGAGGATGCTAGTGAAACCTAATGCAGCTAAATCTCAATGAGTTGTTTTCTCCACTGTTCTTTCCGGTGCAGATAAGTTGCAAATAAGTTAGATGAACGGAAATTAGATAGCATTTCGTTTCTTCTTTAAAGTTGCTTCGAGTGCATTTTGTTCACAATCTAACTTGGAAAGAACATATTACTCCAACGGCTGCTAACTGCAGAAGGGCGTTAGGTTCTATCGCTAGAGTGTTTAGCACCGCACTACAGTATCTCCGTCTGCATCTTTACAAAGTATGTGTTAGGCCGGTTCTTGAATATGCCAGCGTTCTTTACAACAGTTCATTTAATTCACATTTGTCTTTTGGATAGCGTGTAGCGTTTGGCTGTCAGAGTTATAATGAAAGACTACTAGATTAGGTATGCACTAGTTTCAGTTTTTAACTGTAAGAACTGAAACTGTGAGAACTAAAACTACTGAGAACTGGATTAAGAACTGTGACTGTTGACTGTTCAAGAAACAGTTTCTATCTAATTAAATCGAAGGGCACGTCACCAGATCCAGTTTTTCAGCCTGACCACGAAAATCAATTTTAAAATTTATAAAAATTTTAACTTCAACGTAAAAATTTAAATTTAAAATTTTGTAAGTTCAATTTCCTCAGCTACACATTTTCTTGAAAAATTTCAGAACTATGCTGATCGCTAGAGCATTTAATTCTCTACAAAAGACAGCTTAAGCCGCTTTTGCTTGAATATCTGTTATTTTCCCACCTTTTAATCCAGAGATCCTCATAAGAC